ATTGGCAAATCTTCTAGGATAGAATTTGATAGGATCTTTGGGATGGCAGTGATTCAGTTTGAATGTGGTTAGGAAACCATAACACAGCTAAAGTCAAAAAGCATCATACTTCTGAACAGAAATATGATGAGAGCAGAATTTTAATTTGGAAATATCTTAATAAATAAATGTTTTCTATTAAATTATCAAAATGGTTAAACTGTTTTTGATACTATCAAGTGATTTTTTTCAATTCTCGGACCTAAAAGAAAATAGGCAGAATGAATTCCTAAAGTTTACCTGCTTGTATAGAACCGATTCCTGGAAATCTGAGATGCCGTTATTGATGACAAGATTACGGTAATGATAAATTAAATATATGGCAGTGGCAACATACGGAAAGGTGCGATACAAAGATATATTTGTAACTTCTAGGAAAATATGATTTATTTGGGAAATCTTTTAGGCTAATCCAGAATCTTTACTGGAAAAAGATCTCCCATGTCCAGATACAACAGGAATTGAGTAAAAAGACAAAATTAGAAAGGGATGTGAGACAATTATATAACTTCTCGTCGGATTAATTTTACTAATATAAAGAGACAATCATTAAATAATAAACTAGACATCTTACCAGGGTTTATTTCTATTATTAGTGTACGCTGAACAATATACTCATAGAAGAAATTGAGACAACTGAGATGGAAAAGATAATATGGAGACAAACTTTACTTAGACCTCCATCCTGAAGTAAAACAGTACATAAAAGAAGATACTGATATATTTACATAAGCTTACAAATTTATCTGCCTTTCTTTCGTACTAAGATAACGTTAATAAGTATGAAGAAAACACCAGAATAATGGCATTAATGAAGCAAGACAATGAAATTAAATCATCAGAAAATTAAATAATATATGGTATCATAATCCAAACACGCTTTATTCACGTGGTTTGTAACCAACGAAAATTAGATTTACTCTTTCTTCGGTTTCTATTTACAAATTAAATGTCTGTTTTCCTCACCATTTTATCGGTGTGGAATAAGTCCGTCACTATTTGTTGATTTCTCTAGTTTATATAAGTACTAACTGACATGGATAAAACATACGAGTTCATTACATAGATCATAACAGGTGACGAAAAAGTGGCTACATGAAAAACATGATAAATGCAAAATGTAATAAACTGACAAGAGTAAATTATACGTGTCCTTTGAATACAACATAACAGATGATGGAAAAGAGGTTTCATATAAAATATGATGAACGCAAAATGCAATAAATTGACAAGGATAAGTCATACATGTTCCTTAAATAGATCATAACAGATAATAAAGATGGGGGTACATGTGAAACATGATCAGCGCAAAATGTAATAAACTGACAAGCATAAATTATACGTGTTCCTGGAATAGATCGTTACAGATTATGAAAATGGGGTTACATGTGAAACATGATCAGCGCAAAATGTAATAAACTGACGAGCATAAATTATACGCGTTCCAGGAATAGATCGTTACAGATTATGAAAATGGTGTTACATGTGAAACATGATCAGCGCAAAATGTAATAAACTGACGAGCATAAATTATACGTGTTCCTGGAATAGATCGTTACAGATCATGAAAATGATGTTACATGTGAAACATGATCAGCGCAAAATGTAATAAACTGACAAGCATAAATTATACGTGTTCCTGGAATAGATCGTTACAGATTATGAAAATGGTGTTACATGTGAAACATGATCAGCGCAAAATGTAATAAACTGACGAGCATAAATTATACGCGTTCCTGGAATAGATCGTTACAGATTATGAAAATGGGGTTACATGTGAAACATGATCAGCGCAAAATGTAATAAACTGACGAGCATAAATTATACGTGTTCCTGGAATGGATCGTTACAGATTATGAAAATGGGGTTACATGTGAAACATGATCAGCGCAAAATGTAATAAACTGACAAGCATAAATTATACGTGTTCCTGGAATAGATCGTTACAGATTATGAAAATGGGGTTACATGTGAAACATGATCAGCGCAAAATGTAACAAACTGACGAGCATAAATTATACGCGTTCCTGGAATAGATCGTTACAGATTATGAAAATGGGGTTACATGTGAAACATGATCAGCGCAAAATGTAATAAACTGACAAGCGTAAATCATAAGTGTACTTTAAATACATATGTAATAAACTCATAAGCATAAATCGTACGTGTTCCTTGAATAGATTATGAGAGATCATGAAAATGGAGGTACATGTGAAACGTTATCAGTGCAAAGTGTAATAAACCCATAAGCATAAATGATACGTGTTCCTTGAATAGTTCACAACTAGTGATAAAAAAAGGGATTACAAGAGAAATATGATCAACGCAATATGTAATAAATTCATAAGCATAAAACATACGTGTACATTGAATAGATCATTACAGATTATGAAAATGGGGGTACATGTGAAATATGATCAGCGCTAAATGTATTAAACTGACAAGCATAAATCATACGTGTTCCTTGAATAGTTCACAACGAGTGATGAAAAACGGATTACATGTGAAACATGATCAAATGTAATAAAATGACAAGTATTAGTCATCCGGATTCCATACATTGAGTATTACAGGTGATGAAATAGGGCTACATGTGAATATGATCAACGCAAAATGTAATAAACAGACCAGTGTAAATGATACGTATTCCTTGAATAGATTATAACAGGTGATGAAAAATTTGTTACAACTGAAACATTATCAACTTAAAATGTCATAATTTGACAAGGCTGGATCATACATGTTCTTTGAATAGATCAGAACAGGTGATAAAAAAGAATTTTAATGTGAAACATTATCAACGCAAAATGTTGTAAACTAAAGTTATAAGGATAACTCACATATTTTCCTTGAATAGATTTTATCCGGTTATGAAAAAAGGTTACATGTGGAACATTATCAACTTAAAATATAATAAACTGACATGAGTAAGTCATTCGTGTTCTTTGAATAGATCATAACAATGGATAAAATGGTGCTTACATATAAAACACGATAAACGCAAAATGTAATAAACTGACAAGGATAAATCATACGTGTTCCTTGAATAGATTATAAGGGGTGATGAAAAATGGGTTACAGGTGAAATATGATCAATGTAAAATGTAATAAATTGACAATGATGAATCATACGTTTTCTTTGAATAGATCATAACAGGAGGTGAAAAGGGGTTTAAATGTGAAACATTATCAACGTGAAATGTTATTAACTAACAAGGATAAAGCATATATTTTCCTTGAGTTGGTCATAACAGGTGATGAGAAAAGGGCACATGTGAACTATTATCAGCATAAAATGTGACAAGGATAGATCATACGTGTCTTTTGAATAGTTCATAACAGATTATGAAAAAGTGGTTACATGTGAAACATTATCAACTCAAAATGTATTAAACTGACAAGGATAAATCATACGTGTTCTTTACATGGATCATAATGGTCAATGAAATTGGGTTACTTGTGAAACTGGATCAACTTAAAATGTAATTGTTAAGAGGTCCACCCCTTTTTCATACAAGTGGACTCGACCAGTGTGTACTTGTACTGCTGCCGGTGAATACCTGGGAGACTAAGAGAGATACACTAATACAGTGAACAGTGAGATCGTGAGAGTGAGAGTGTGAGGTAACCGCTTTGTAGGAGTCACAGTTGCGAGCACGTAGACTCAGAAGGAAGCCGTACTTCGATACTGAATTTCCCAGACTATATATATATTGCTACTAACTATATTTCATTCCTGCGTTTGTCCTTCATTTGAGACCGGATTTCATCCCGGAATCCACAACAGTAATAAACTTTGAAATATAAAAATTACATTTTCTTTAAATAGGTTATAAAAGGGTAAGAGAAAAGTGTTACATGAGGAAAATGTTCCACTCTAAAAGTAATTAAGAGATTAATATAAATCTCCACAACTGACCCCAGATTGAGCTGCAGGGAAGAAAGTTAATGTTCTTTACCTGGTGAAATCGTTAAGGTACTATTAATTAGCCACGTGTCCATAAGACATGCTTTTCGAAAGGAAAAATATTGTTCACTTCCTTAGCAATGTCGCATACGGCAAGCATAACATAAAATAATTGGGAATTAGTTAGGGTCTGTTCCAACCCTCCCACGATATTCAACTGACTTTGTCCCAACCTAATATTACGTTTTTGAAACGCTTTGTTTGAACTTGTATAAATACACACACACACACACACACACACACACACACACACACACACAACCTGGGCTTTATAATAACTATGATTATGGGGATATTAATAACACTAATTAGGGAAATCTGCTTCGTGTGATAATAGCAAAAAAAAACATTTGCTGTGGACTACTACTACTAATATAAGTATGAAGACATAATAGTCTTCATACTTATATTAGTAGTAGTAATAGTAGTAGTGGTACGTTAGTATATTTGTAACATTTAATAAGCACTCGGATTTTATATCCAGAATCAATAACCAGTTTCTATATCTAGATATAGAATTATGATCTTTTGAAAATTAGCATGCATTTTTTTGTAAAGTAATATTCGTTCGTTCGACTTTTGCAATTCTATATTCATATTCATTTGAATGTGTGAATTTATCTATGACTTGTTAGTGTGTGGCGAATGTGCGCTCTCCCGAAAGCGCATTTAGGGTCTGTGTCTGTTTACGTGTCAACGGCAGAGGTATGGCCAGGTCATTTCTCAACTGAACATATGGATTTGATTGGCACTTGCAAACAAATTCGAAGTAAGATTTATTCACACACTTTGTCGACTTTTGGCGGGGAGAGCATTGAATCAAGTTGCGAACAATTAAACGCCGGTTTGGAAATGGAGGAAATCCTGACAAATGAAACGGGCGAAAATGACACCGGATCGCTTGTAGCTGTGTTTCATCCTCTCCTCACTAAAATCAATTATTCTAAACTTCAGTAACCATCATCATAGGGCACGTTTCTGGAGGTTAAATGTTTTACGACTCGTATGTTCGCAAATAGATGTGAATAGACATAGATAGATAGATAGATAGATAGATAGATAGATAGATAGATAGATAGATATGAAAAATCTGAGAAAGAACGGTAAATGTGAATAAACTGGGATAGATAGATAGATAGATAGGAACAGACTGAGATAGATAGATAGATAGATAGATAGATAGATAGATAGATAGATAGATAGATAGATAGATAGATAGATAGATATGAAAAATCTGAGAAAGGTTTCTGGATGTTAAATGTTTTACGACTCGTATGTTCGTAAATAGATGTGAATAGACATAGATAGATAGATAGATAGATAGATAGATAGATAGATAGATATGAAAAATCTGAGAAAGGTTTCTGGAGGTTAAATGTTTTACGACTCGTATATTCGCAAATAGATGTGAACAGACATAGATAGATAGATAGATAGATAGATAGATAGATAGATAGATAGATAGATAGATAGATAGATATGAAAAATCTGAGAAAGAACGGTAAATGTCAACAAACTGGGATAGATAGATAGATAGATAGATAGATAGATAGATAGATAGATAGATAGATAGAAGGAACAAACTGAGATAGATAGTATACGTATCTTAATTATTATTTTATTAGCATATATATTAATATTCGCTCTTTGACATTCTATAACATCCATCATGTTTTCACTCATTCACTTTTTTAACTTTTGTTTTGTTTCTAATTTAAAATTACTTAACAACAATTTTTATTTCGTCCACAGATCTTTGACTATATTTTTTCCATTCACATTTACATCTCTACTACTTTGAGCTACTTTGATAAGTTGGACAATAATCAATTTTGAACCATATGATGGAGAACTGTCTTGTACAAATTATACTATTAGCTTTATGTTTGTAATTTTTTAATACTTTCATCCCAAGCAAGGCAATAAAGACACTAAGACGCAAGAAGTTACTGAGAGGGTAGGAAATGCGAAAACATTATTGAGGAGAAAGTTCAATAAAACTACAGGATTCAAAAAGGCTGAGAATAACGACTGAGTTTGTATTTAAATTTTAGAAGTCGAAAAATTTTCCCCAAGCGAGAAGTGTCAGAGAAGAAATCATTAGCATAGGACTTGCGCTTACACTCAGCAACCTCAACTCTAAAACGATAAGAATTATCTTCCTGTCTAGTAGTACGCTTAAATTCATGAAGTCAAAGTTACCAAAGTTGAAACTCATCAGAATAATTACCATGAAAATAACTATAGAAGAGACAAAGGTAAGCTACTTTACAGCAATGGGAAAGTAACTGAAACTGAGATGCCAGGTCAGAACCGATAGATGCTTTGTATTCTGTCCAGAATCTGTACATACATATGAGCACCAGACCTGATGTGGCAACAATGTTCATCCAGGCATTGTATACTTCTGTTAGTTCTTCGAATGATTCTCTCTTCTTACAGTTAACAGTTAGTACTTTCAAAATGATAATTCAGAAAAATGTATTTTCATAACGTTTATCAAAGCAACATTTTCGATAAAATCAAATTATTGCATTGCAAATACTTAGTTAACTTGTCTATTCTTTGCCTTAACCTACACTAATCGATGTCATATTCTCTATATAAAAGTATTACGTTCAGTAAAATTTAATGGCCAGCAGGTAGTCAAAAATATATACCTAGACATTTTAGTCATATGTCAAAAGTTATACTTTTCTTTTTAAAATTTATTTAGTACAGTAAATAAGAAACTAAGTCTAAATCAAATTTATTTTGTAAATAATTTTATGATTTACAAGTACAATAATAATAATACAATACAAGCAAATCAGCCAGACATCATTATCAAAGATAGAAAAGAAAAATAACTAAACAATTCCAAACACCTGGATACGGAAATATAAAAAATGTGACACTTAAAATCTAAAACTGTTCCTTTTGTGGATGTAGCTTTGGGTCTCATAAGAAAAGAAAAAAGAAAATATCAACAAAATCCTTGGCACACCATTTCTCTATAAAATCCCCAGAATAGTTCTAACATGTACAGATGATATCCTGTGAAGATTTTTGTCCATTTAAGTTTTTCTTAATAGCTGTGTTCTTTTAAAATATGGGAAAACAACAAAAATCACACACGTCATTTAACCTTGCTTATTATCTTATAAAACAAATCCAGGTCAAGAAACTATAAACAAATTTGTTTAAAAAATTTGAACACTGTACATGCTAGAATTCACAGAAATTATGATAAAATGCATATATTTACGTATTCGTATTTTTCAAGGGGTTATGCTAAACAGAATTAAATAATAATAATAATAATAATGATGATGATGATGATGATGATGATGATAACTATGAACCTGGCAAGAGAACTGAAACTTAAAATACGTGTGACTGTTTTACTAACAATTACTGAGGAAATACTGAGAGATGTAAGGCTGAAGGAATAGATTGAAAGATACATTATCTATATTAAAAGCCACATGTTAAAAGTATAAAAATCCAATTTATAATAATAATAATAATAATAATAATAATCAGAAGAAGAAGAAGTGCAAAAATGTTGTGAGAATATATGGATCAGCCCAAAAGAATATAATTCTAATGAAGTGTGGATTAAATGAGAACGAGAAAGAATGAATCCTAAACCTGTACAAGAATGGAAAAATATAACCAAGAATAATGTTAGTGTAGTGTAGTTTTACTGACTCACAGAAAGTAGTATGCGCTAAACTGACATGGGTAATAACAGTAGCTATTTATAGTATTTTTGACTTCCTATGTAAATGAGTCACCTCATCTCCCTGTATCGAAGCGGTTTTATCACTTTGTTTTACCAGACACTTATGGGAGATGGTATTACCTCACTATCTTCTTCTTTTAGGGAAAGTGATTGTCTAGATATGGGAGATCGTGATTTTTTTCTTTTTTCATTGGAGTTATCCTCCAACGATTGTTCATCTTCAGAGTCTATATTGCTCTTGATTTCACTGAAATGTTTGTCTTGCCCTGATATGATACTTTTGCCTTCATTACTTTCGGGTTCTGTCTACTTTGCATTATGAATTTTACCTTTTGATTCACTATTCTTTTTATACCAGAGTTTTTCGTTAATGGCATATGGCATGATCAATAGGTTTCTAATTTGTCTACCCAGGAGAGTGGAAAGGTTTTTCGATCTTCCAGCCTGTGTTGTTGTCCTATTACTCAATCTAGGAAGAAATTTTTCTACCTTTTGTTTCCGTTGTAGACATATCATCAACCTGTTTTTTTGTTTTTTTTTTCAAATCAAGGAAAATTTATTGAAACAAAACAAGTTCAGTTGACCACTGATGACAATTCCAGAACAACGTAATTATAAACAATTTTTTTCTATCCTCTGCCAGCCGCAATGATGGAGAAAGCATTACCTCGAACCATCACCAGTGAGACACGCTGCAAGAGCTACTCCATTTCGCGAGGCTCGTCCCTTAATCGAGACGCTATCACGCCAATCCTCCGAAGGAACGCCATCGAACGAGAGCCAATAACTCCTGAAGTCTCCACTGTCACAGGAGTAAAAAAAATCTATCACAAAGAGAAGAATATTTAACTATTTTTTTCATCTCTGCGTCCCGGGCGACGGATCCCGGCTCAACCGCGGACCAGATCAAATTACCGGCCGAAAATGTATCCGCATCAACCTTTATACTAATCGGTTTGATTGCGAATGGTACGGTGGGGTTTCATATGGTTTGCATCCAATTTTCTTCAACCACTGACATAGTTCCTCTGGGGTGTTGTCAGATACTAACGTTTTCGAAACTCCGTTTCTTGAAAATATGATCCTTAACCTGCTGGACACTTGTATTAATTCTGGCCAGCCTGAATACACATGATCCATGATGATCCATGTATATTCTGTTCCATGTTTGTGACTTTTTAGGACATGTATTTATGTCTAAATTATCCACCTCCAATGATCGCTTTACACCTTTTTACGTATTCTACATCTTTAGAATATTTTGGCCACTATGACTCTAGCCTTAATCTCCTTTGCGTAGACGTTATTTCACAAGGAACATCGTCATATATTATTTTATAGTCTTACTCCTTTGCGTTGCTGGCGGAACCACAACGTCTCCATTACAAATTAGACCATTTTCCATGGTTAACTTGTGTTTTCAACTCTTTAAAGCGCCTTTCTGCTCGTGAGCAATTGTTTCACTTATTATTTATGTTATGGTCCGGTTCCTTGTACCACGGTGATAGTCCAAGGTAGAACCAATAAAGAAGAACTCGAACACGGATATGGAATAACACAGATATATTACAAACAGGAATATATACAGAGAAGTAGAAGTGTTAGTATGAACAATCAGGTTTAGTAGAGAGAACAATGTAGTCTCGACCAGTATCACTATTCCAATGTCTTGTAGTAATTGTCTGAACGCGTCTCTGTTTCGGACTGCCTCTGACTCGACTCTTGACTCGACTTGAACTACTGACTCGACTTGAACTACTGACTGAGGCGCAGTATTTATTAAGTATGGAATAGTCCATTATTATTATTATGGGTAATATCCTATAACAATTTATTACCTTGTTCAATATGGGATCTCGCTTCGTATCCTCAAGTAATTTGTATATCAACAAAATATCAGTTTCAACCCAGTGTAAGCAAGTTTCGATTTTTTCCTCTACTTTCTCACTTTCAGAAGTAATAAAAAGCGTTACATTCGAAATGGTGTTGCTTTTCACATACTTAATAACTAAGTCAAACACCATTAACATCAAGATCCATCTTAAAATTCAAAATCACGTTAACTTAAAAAGTTCCTTTCTAGGATTAAATATGAATTCTAAAGGTATATGATCGGAACTTTGTAGGAATTTCTTTCCAATCAGAAACTGATGTGCTCTATTTGTCCACAATATTAAATATTCAAGTGTAATGTCAATCGACATCTGACACCCTGAGCTTGTTCCTCATCCTAATCTCTACTTTGACTCAAACACGCCTCTTTATTCTTGTTCTCAATCCTCTGTAACCTCTTGCGTGCTCGTGGCACTCCCGCCTTGCTTAAGGTGAATTGCCTTAAAAAATATTATGACCAACGTTTTTTTCTCAATATTTGAGAAGTTTACTTCAGCTTTTGAAAGATACATAATAGCTAATATTTCCGAAATTGACTGTTTACTTGTGTCAGTTGTTATTGCTATTTCCTTTCTAGGGTCGAATATTTTTACAATTTGCTTTATATGCTGGACATTTTTGTTTTCCTCTTTCTGTGTCAAGCCAGAAAGTTTTTCTCGCCTGACTCCATCCTTCAAATCTATAAATCAACCATTCGCCCTTGGATAGAATACTGCTGCCATATATGACCCGGAGCTCGCGCTATTCGTCTCAAGGTCCTCGACAAAATCCAGAGACGTCTATAGTCACTTTCTCACAGATGTGACGTCTATCCCTCTGTCTTTTTTACAAGTAATTTCATGGTAACTGCTAAGCGAGCTATTTTCGCTGCTTCCCAAACTGCATGAATTTAAGCGTGTTACTAGTTTGGCATCTCAGTCCCACCCTTTCACTGTCGAAATGATTAAATGTAACCGTCTCTTCTACTCGAATAGATTCATGTCTCGCACTTCCCTTCCACTTACTTGCTTCCCTGAAAGTTATATTCTTCAAATATTCAAATGTAATGTCAATTGACATATTCTGATACCTTGATCTAATTCCCCGTCCTTCTCTTTATCCTTTCCTCAATCACGTTTCTTTACTCTTATTCTCAATCCTCTGTAACCCCTTGCGTGCTAGTGTCACTCCCGGTTTGCTTGGGGTGAAATGCTTAAAGCAATGTACACATTATTCTTTATATTCTCTATATCACGTATGTGTTCTTTTTTCTCTACCAGATACGTAAATTTTGTGGTATTAAATTTTCGAATCCATTATCGTTGCTGAAGAAATTCGACACACTATTCTAGCAACAACTTTCCCAAATGTAAATGTATTAGAATCATGTCCGCTCCCAGTTTCCTGTACTCACAATATTTATGGCCTGTTATAAACGAAGAACATATTCAATAACTGCTTCATTCAGTTATTGAGAAATGTTCATGAACCTAGCTCTCTCTGAATTCACTAGTCTTTTTCTCGGGTGCTATGTTTTTCACTATTAGTTGACTTATATTGTCAAATGTCATTTCCTCCAACTGTCTTGGTTGCTGAATTGCAAATAATTCTATGAAAGCCTCACAAGCAACAGTTATCAAGAAGAGATCAGTTATCTGGTTTTCTCACCAACTGATTTCAAATCCTTCAGCTTTTTGTTTAGTGTAGCGGTGACTTACGGCGACCCAAAAGGGCAAGAGTCACGCGTATGTTGTCCAAGGGAGTGTGGAGACGGCGAATCAGCGAGCTTCGGACGGACGGTGAATCGGACAGCACTTCGTGCTGATGGAGTTGATGGTGTCGCTTGTAGCTATTTTTACTGGCTGGTTCTGGGCTCACATTGGCCGAGTGTTGGTTGGGTCAGGTGTATAAAAACATGGTACGCTCAGGGGTTCGGTTTTTCTTTTTGGACGGTGAGGGGCATATTGGAGATCGAGACAAGAAGTGTGGATTTCTTTTGCGTATTGATCCTATTAGACTCATACTACCTTTCTTTTCCTCTGTGTGCTTCTAACCAATTTTTGCAACAT